CAGAGAAAGTAAAAAGCTGGTTAGATAAGAATGTGGCTGAGCAAGAAAAGTGAGTTTAGCTTCTTTTTCTTTTATACCATCTTTAAAAATTACCGTCTACACTCTACAGATAGAAAGACTAAATATCAAACTTGTCACAGGACTTCTCTGTCGAGCAAACCCGTGTTCACGTCCACTGAAGTGTATGCGAAAGTATTTACTCTGCAAGACAAGGTAAGAAAAGAGAATGGGTACATAAAAGAAGTCAGTAATTTGCACCAAAAAGGGTTTTGACATTTGGGTTTAAATTGAATTATAGGTCACAAAAGTGAATAAGATCCCAAAGCCAAAGCCAAAGATAGAGAAAGCAACCAAGACAGAGAACACAACGAAGGAGGAGGAACAATCAAAATCCTCTGATGAAGCTGCCAAAGAAGAAGAAAGTCACGACGAGCTTTGATTAACATATATAATAAATAGAGTTTTGGTTAAAGTTAATTTTTGTGTTTTTAAGAGGGCAAATAGGATTAAAAGTAGGCAGCTGAGATGAGCAAAAGGATTTTATTCCTTTCTCCTCAACTTCTTCACATTACATTAGAAACGGAATATTCTGTGTTTTTGTTTTTCATTATATCAAGTTTTGGTCTCTTTTTTTTCCCTCCTATAATTGAATCTTCAATTTAGTAGAATTTTATAGTTAGCATTAGTTTATTTATGTTTAGACACTTGATCATTATAGATTGCTACACCAAGTCACCAACTTCACCTTTACTAACTAGTGTATAGCATAATGATGTATGATGCACCAAGAAACAGAAAATACGTTACAAGTTACATTCTTTAGCCGTAAATCCTAGACGACTGACTGCAATGTGTTTTCGGCGAATGTAACGCACCGTGATAACCTTGACGTAACTAGATAGCTCATGAGATTATGTCACTTATGTCGGCCAAGGATGCTTGACACACTAGAGACGAAGGTGCTTCTTTGGACGGTGCATTTAATGTTAAGTAAATCATTTAACACACGAAAAGATTTATACTTGGATATGTCTTCCAGAATACAATTCACTCTATATGTAGAGAAAGAAACGGTAGGAGACACAGAGAGAAACCTTCAATGACAGAGAGGATTGTTAAGTTGATAGATAAGAACATTCGAAACCGATTGAGCACAATAAGGAGAGGAAGTCATGAGAAATATACAAGCGGGATTCAAACGTGATTTGTTTTAAGAAAACACCATAGATAGAATTTTCTTGAATTTTTTTAAGAAAAGTTTGCATTCATATGTATAAACATTTATTTTTTCTTTGGTTTAACATTAGACATATATAAAAAAAAATATCAAGTACTTTGTCCCATATGGATATTCTACGTACTGACTATAAGAACAGTTTTTGAGTTGATTAGAAATTTTGTTGTCATCTGTGAAAAGAGTGTTGTCCGTCGGAATTTTCCAGTAAGATGGGCCATCGCAGTGCGGCCTCTAAAACCTTTTTGCATGTTAGAGCTATGCGCCCTCACACACTGATCGTCTAGAAATCTAGTACTTCGTGGTGTATCGATTTGTCCACGTGTTACGGTCTGGTTGGTGACTGGAAATAAAACCACAAACAAACATCAATAGTTGATTGAGATTAGTCGTTGAAAAAGAAAAACTTATAGTAGTTGAACACATATTGAGTATACAGATTGGACGGAAAACGTTACGAGTTTACAACGATGGGGTTAAATCTTGACATTCAAATACTATGGAATATACATTGTCGAATTATCACTATATTATATAAACTATAAAGAAAAAGTCAAAGTTTTGTAGGGCTGTGGACTTGAAAGTTTGGAGGGGACTATATTCACAACGAAACTTCTAATTAACAAGACAATCTATAAAGACGCAGCAACTTATGTATTAATGCAAACACCATTGTAGTATACATTTTTATGGAGAGAAAACAAAATAAAATAGTTGGGGGAAGATATTAATACTAATAATAGAAAATAAATGAAGCGTCGGTGTGAAGTTGATGATTAAAAACGCGTAAGAGATAGAAGAAGAAAGAAAAGACACAAACCATACTAAACACATTGAAATCAGGTGGACTATGTCGTTGAAGCTGTGCCAACACTTGACACAACAGCTCACGGACACACCCAATTCAATCCAAACAAATAAAATACAATTCGGAAAACAAAAAGTTTCTATTTTATATACCTTAATTAAGAACCAATATTAAACTAAAACATAAATTTTCTTGTAAATCATTCAAGTTCAAAATATATCTTAACTAATCCAATATTAAGCAGAAACATATTTTAGACTTATGAACCCAACATATATACTGACTATAAATTTTTAGTTGTATTTTAAAAATTTAAACAACCAGGAACTAAACATTTCTGGTTAAAACATCTCATTCCTAATAAACCAATAATGCAAACATAAAAAGAAAAGCATCTCTAGTATATTAAGAGACCCACGTATATATAGTACTTGATCTTTTGGAGCATTCATCGTATGTTATAGGTCTGACTGGTAAACAAAGGAGAATAATTATTTTTCTTCTAGCTCTACCGCATTGGAGAAAAAAATATTTTTATCATCAAATAAATATCTATTTTCCTAGTAGAAAGTTTTCTTCCACATTATTGTAGTACAATGAAAGATTACTTTGAATTCTTCTCCATTATTCTTACAGTATTCACATCCATATATTAAATGGTAAACGAGATCACTCGTAACTTATCTGATCCTAGTAAATTTCAGATAAATTTTCAATAGATTTAAATTAGATTAATCTTTATCGTGAAATTTTCCGTCTGTTTAAGAATTGTGAGCTTGTTGATTATTCAAGGATGAATTATGAAAAATCCTTTTGTTGGTCAGTCCCAAAATCATTTCGTACTCTAATTCTAAAAAGGTAAAAAGAGGAATTAAAATTATAATTTGGTAGTAAAGTTTGGTGGGACTTACAATTATCAATCAATAAGTTTTTCGTTTATTATGAATGCACCGCCATATTTTGAAAGTGAAAATGACGTTGCACCAAACTAAACAATTAATTCCCCCTCATGCAAGATTTTGATCCTCTTCCAGTTTTTCTTCAATTTGGTACGGTGACCTTCCTCAATGACAATGAGTCAATAACAAAATGAAAAAGTTTGCGTTTCATTTACTAAACTATTTTCCAATTTTAGTTTAATAGATCATGCCAAAACGTAGGGAAATGTATGTTTTTATACGTAGTTTTGATTCCACCGGTAAAGTATTCTCAAACTTTAGTAACAACAAATTCCGTTTTCATGTCTTACACAAACTATATTGTAAAGTTGATTAATCTCATTAGCTATATGACTATATTATTATTTGTTGGTTCAGTTGACCAAAAAAATAGAAACTGTATAACCTATGATGGGACCAGACAACAGTATCTCATAGCATTATTGAAGTTTGGTTAGCTTTCATTACATGAAAAGAATATATATGCAGGTTATCTTCTAATCCCAAAGTGACAATGACTTGTCTCGTTTGGAATTCGACTAATTAAAGACAAATATACAAAAAATTAACCATATTGCCAATATAACTTTAAGAAAAATATCAACCTAAAAAAATGGTACGTAATTAACGTATAAGAAAACGGATAAGCCACCAATAGTCTCATTTGACAGCTATTGTTCTATTAGAAGTCAAAAACAATACTATACGATAGGTAAACCATTCCCAAAATAACGTAATAAACATAACCATCGAGTATCATCCAACAAAATCATGACCATTTATCAAAAAAGAAAAATCATGACCACAATATGAAAGTCTATTAGTTATTGTTATGATAGCTTATGTTAAAAATTAAAGTGGATGTGGGTGAGTGAATGGTTACAATCGATGATAAAGGAGTGTACGAATTGATAATGTCAACTAACAAACGTTAATTTCAACTCAATAATTAATCAAAGTTTGATATTCCTAAAGTAACTTTTCACCATAAGTACTCTTTAATAAGATGATTTATGTTCATAAAGTTAATTGTTTCAAATTTACCCAAAAAAAAAAAAAAAAAAAAAAAAAGTTAATTGTTTCAACTACATTATTGTCAATATTTGATATCAATCAATTCAATATACATACAAATGGTATCCGATATATGCTTCCACATGTGCAACTCTTATCGATGTGATTGAAATTCAACTTATGATGTAATCTTTTTATAACAATCGTATTATAAGTAATGTTAAAAATTTGAAATTCAAATAAAAATCATACTAGAAGGTCTCATATTGAACCGAATAAATAATCTTTAATCATTGTTTATGATATATATCCATATCAATCGCTTAAATATGCAACTAACAGCTTTATTACAGGTAGATGTGTATCATTTTACATAAAAATTTGTCTTGTTTGTGCCTCGATCTCCTGTCTAGGAAGGATTCCGATGAGATAAACAAGGCAATCTGGATCGCAGAACGTTATGGTAATTTAATAAGTTATCACTTCATTATTTACGATCTGAAATCGACATAGTATCTCTTAACCATAAATCCCACGTATTAATATATCTATTTTAGTAGTAATCTTCATAGAAATCACGTTGATCGTTTATAAAAAAATATAGAACACAAAATGTTTGTACATCTTTCTTGACAAAGATCTAATTTTAATAAAATGTTTGTACGTATAAGTCTATATATATATATAGCTAGGAAACCAACATATGAAGACATGAAGATAATAATATAGAGGTATTTATAATTTTTGTGTGTCTTAAGTCTTAACCAACTCTTGGTGAAAGGTTCACAATATAATTTGATCGATCAGAGTTCGAGTTATGCTACTAAATATGGTTTCAACTTTCAAAATGGATTTGGTCTCTCTAAATATTTTCAATGAGAAAAATATGCAACTATTTTCACAAAGCTCAAGATTGATATTCTAATTATTAAAATAAAGTATAACCATCAAAAAATAAAACAGGGACAAGAATAAGATCCACGTCTTGCATTAAAACGTGCCTTGTCAAAGATGTTCTCTTTGACTCTTTAGTGTAAGCCATATCTCTTTCTCTATATAAAAATCAACCATGGTTTGTGTCAGTGTGTGCACATATTTTTATAAGATATCTTCACATACACAAAAACATTTAGTAAACAGTGCACAAGTGATATCGAATATTTGATTATTTTTCATAATCAGAGATCTGATCTAAATGGAGTATGACCGTACGTTAAACTTCATTGCATATGGACTACAAGAAGTAAGAGAGGAAGAAGAAATCGAAGAAGAAGAAGACGATGAAGAGAGCATGACGTTGTCGTCAGTGCCTGAAAACGAGACGTCGAAGTGTTCTTCACCTCCGGCTACGTATCCTCCAATCCCTCCTCGGCCTAAAACTCCGAGAGAGCCGATGGAGTTTCTATGCAGATCATGGAGTCTTTCTACGTCTGAGATCTCTTTAGCTTTATCATCTCAGAAATCTGATAAACAACTCAACAAAAACCCTAGTATTTCTCAGTTGGCCGATGTCACTTCTACGGCTCCGGCAGCACCACCACCGCCGCTACAAGTAAGCCGTCTCTTGCTTTTATCTTCTCTTTATTGTATATTAATTTGTATGGTTGATATGATCGTACGTTACCATCAATAAGGTAAATAAAGAAAATTAATTTTGATAGTACTATTACAAGTTCACTAAAGATTGGACGCATCAAATGACAAATGAAGTCTTTTTTTTTTTTTGATAAAGGCAAATGAAGTATTGGAGTTTTTTTTTTTTGGATCAAAATATTATATACTTATACATGGATGTTATTTTCCAATAATGTATACGATAAGTGTATATTTTTTTTGTTTTGACTTTTGAATGTGAAATTATTTTCATTAATATCTCATTATCTATCTCTCGTGTGTAACGAAATTGCTTTGTGCTAATAATTTGTTAGGTGTTTTATTTTTTATGGGCCAAGAATATATTTATAGAACCAAAACAATATTAAGACCCAATCTGTAAAAAGCCCAAAATATTTAAACTGTTACTTTCTTCGACAGACGGGAAAGCTAGCGAGTGCGGTTAACGCGCGGAGAACGGGAACGATCGGAAAATGGTTCCACCACCGAGAATTCGTCGGCGGAAAGGTCTCCGCCGTAAGGAAGAGAGATAAAGCTCGCGTGGAGAAAGCTCATCTGCATTCCGCCGTGTCCATTGCGTCTCTAGCGACGGCTATCGCCGCCGTGACCGCTTCAGACAACCAAGACGGCTTCACTGGATCAAAGATGAGCTCAGCGCTTGCCTCGGCATCGGAGTTGTTAGCTTCTCACTGCCTCGAATTGGCGGAGCTTGCCGGCGCCGATCACGATCGCGTTGTCTCTGCAGTCCGATCTGCCGTCGATGTTCGTGGACCTGGCGATTTGTTGACTCTAACTGCTGCAGCTGCAACAGGTGAGTTCAATTCTCCATCATTGATTAGATCTTTCTCTTGAATGCTACAATGGCGTGAATCTTAATCCAATGCAGATTTGAGTTGATCATTCGATTTGGTCTCATGATAAGATTGATGTTTCTCGGTTTTTCGATAATGTAGCATTGAGAGGAGAAGCAGCTCTGAGGGCAAGACTACCAAAGGAAGCTAAGAACAGTGCAGCTATAAGCCCTTGTGAGAGAGTTTTAACAGAGACTCATAGTTGCTCTTCTATGCTCGATCGCAGTAGCACGACCGACGAACACATATCTGCAAAGGGAGTTGAAGAATCAACTGGAGAGCTAATGCAGTGCACACGAAACGGTAATATTTCAGTACACTTTTAAATTCAACCAATGCAAACAACAAAGAGTTTTCACTTACCACGAGATTGAGGAATTGACTAATGGACTTTCCAGGAGTTCTGCGGTGGAAGCATGTAAAAGGGTACATCAACAAGAAATCTCAGGTTCGAATACTCATTGGAGCAAACAAAACTATATGCTGGTTGGATTCTAGAGTTGACTTTTGCTCGTTTTCTTTTTTGCAGGTCGTAGTAGAAATCAAAAGCAAACATGTTGTAGGAGCATTCTCCATGAAAAGCAAAGGTTAGTAAGCTACTCTTCTTTCTTTCAATGTTAACGGTGTTCATTTGTATAAAGCAGAGTGATCTTGGGACTTAGTCCAATGCTTTCCAATAATCCAGTGGTTGAATCACTACAGGCATTGTAAATGATGTATGCGAGAAAGTCTCAGGCCTGCAAAATGGAAAAGAAATGGAAAACACAGAAGAAGAGCTCTATTTCGGAATTAGTACAGGGAAAGGTCTAACAAAGTTCAAGTGCAAGAGCAAGGCTGATAAGCAGACATGGGTGGATAGCATCCGGAATCTTCTCCATCGAGTAACTGCTGTTGAGGTTATCGACACTTCTCTTGAAACTACAAACATTGCCGATAGCAAATAAATCATGTCTTGTGTTAACGGTATTAGTGTTGGTTGTTCTCATTACAAGTCAATGATATGTACTGTGTCAAGCACATATACATATCTGCAAGTAGGTGTAGTGTTTTTCATCTTCATCCCTTGTTTTTATTTCAGTCAATTGTAAACATTTTTTTTTGAGGAAATAATGAAGATTATAATAAGGCCTGATGAATCTCACCGGAGAAATGTCCATGTGTTTCTCCATGACTTCTTCCCCGATGACAATCACGGTGAGTTTCTCTGTCACTTCTGAATTCTTGATTTTCTTCTGTCTTTCTAATCAGTTGTCTATAGTCTCCAGTAAATACTCGAGAAAACTCAGAATCATGCGTTTATAAGATGGAAATAAACAGTAGTCAGTAAACTGATGATGACTAAACATATAAGAATCTTTCAGAGAAAATGGATGAAAAAGTACTAGTATCATAATTGTTTTAACTTCGTTCCGAAACAGTAAAGAGAAATGACTAGTTTAGTTTGGTTGTTACCTCTTTGCTTTCTTGTTCGTATCGACCTTCGAGGTCCGGGTTTTCTTGTTAGTATCAACCTTTGACGTCGAGGCTCTTTCGCTTCTTCTCTGTTTTTTCTTTGGCCGAGTATCTTCAATGTCTTTAAGCTCGTAGTAATGAGGAGCTATTTCAATTAGCCACTCAGGCTTCATTTCAGTTGTATGCCTCATATATTCCTTGGTAGTAAGTACTAGTTCATGATACACCAACCACTTACTAGGTGATACCCCAAATAAGCCTGAGTTAGGATGTACATAAACTGTCTGAGGTTCTTTCACTCTTCTGTACGATCCATTCTTTTGTAACTTTGCAGAATGCGGGAAGAATCCGGCCAAGATTGCTTTCTTTATTGCGTCTAAATCATTCGGGTTGGAAGTAAGTTCTATTCCAATCTTGTTTAAAAGTCCAAGTAGCTGGTCACGTATATCTCTTGCTCTTTTCATACTCTTGCTCTGAATGTAGTTATCGTAGCACCATTCAGTTGAGTAGTTTCTTTCCTTCCAGTCATTGTAAACCCTTAACAATGCGATGTGATCGCCGACATTCTCTGTACCTACATAGAAATTCATCCGAGCAGTGTCGGCGAGAACTTGCTTGTTCTTTGGTCGATAGAAGATCGAGTTCCCTACAGACAACATGGCAGCTATCGTGATTATCTCTTTCGAGCACTTGTACTTTTCCGAACCAACAATCATCTTTGATAGCATTGGATCAACTGGAAACTCTACCATTCTTTCTCCTACCTTAGTAATCTCACCATTTTCATCCAAAGCACCCAGCGCATAGAGCAACTCTAGAGCCTTCAAAAGAGCGTTTGCAGGTGGAGGGTCCATGAAATCAAAATTGAACACATCTTGAATCCCAAGACTCTTCAAAGTAAGCACAACACTGGCAAGGTTAGCCCTTTGGATTTCCGGTATTGTGGTGGGCTCCAAATCCTTTACATTGTACAACCGGAAACATTTCCCAGGACCCGTTCTTCCAGACCGACCAGCTCGTTGCTCTGCCGAAGCCTTGGAAATAGGAGTTACAAGGAGTGACTCCATTCCGGTTCTCGGATTGTATGAGTTGATCTTGCAATATCCTGGATCAATGACGTATTTTATCCCATCAATGGTTAACGATGTTTCTGCAATATTCGTCGCCAGGACAACTTTCCGCGACCCTTTACGGGCCGGTTCAAATACCTTTGCCTGTAGTTCGGTTGGGAGATTTGAGTAGATAGGACAGATAATGATCTCAGATCCCTTTGTACCTAAATCCATCATCCTTCGCTTCAAATTCGTTTCTACTGTTTCGATCTCTTCTTGACCAGTGAGGAAAACTAAAATGTCTCCAATAGGCTCAGTCTGATGGATCTGAACCACAGTGCGAATCACTGTCTCCAAGTAGTCAGGTTCAGGCCATTTTCTGAAGAGCTTTTCAACTGGATATCTTCTTCCTGGGATTAGGTAAATCCGAGCCGAATCAAAGTATTCGGAGAACTTTTTTGCTTCAAGCGTTGCACTGGAGATTATTAACCTCAGATCAGGCCTAACCTTTGCTACATCCTTCACTAACGCAAACAAAATATCAGTGGACAGCGTTCTTTCGTGCGCCTCATCAATTATGATGACACTATAGCTATCGAGTTTCGGTTCTGTGAGTAGCTCTCGCAACAGCATCCCATCAGTCATGTACTTCACAACTGTTTTTTCTGAAGTACAGTCTTCAAATCTAATGGAATATCCAACCTCATGTCCGAGTTTAACACCAACCTCTTGAGCCACTCGGGAAGCAACGCTCATTGCAGCAACTCTCCGAGGCTGAGTGCAACCGATCTTTCCACGCTTTGTGTAACCTGCTTCTTGAAGATACTGCGGTATCTGCGTAGTCTTACCCGATCCTGTTTCCCCTACAATGACAAGAACCTGATTCTCTTCAATGAGTTTCAGCAATTCCTCCCGGTACCCATGAATCGGAAGTAACTCCCTCTCCTCCCGAGCCTTCTCTCCAACAGTTTTCGAGTAACAACCACGATGTTTCCCAGATTCCGCCTCACTATATTCCTCAACCAAGCCTTTCAAATCATCAAACACAAACTCAAACCCATCAACAACTCCCTTCTTATCTTTTGCACCAAAACTCACTCTCGCTTTCTGAGCCTGATGATCCTCCCAAGCTTCTTGCTCCGTAACACCTCTCCCGCTCCTTCGCTCACAATACCGCTCCTTCGCCACAGCAAACCTCTTCTTCTGATCAATACACCCTTCTTGATCATAAGCATCTGGAATCCTATACCCTTCAACATCATCATCCTCTGTTTTCTTCAACAACTCATACAACTTTTTCTTATACCTAAACTCAGTTACTTCCTTCTCAGTCATCTTCACACCATCATTCAACAAAACCTCGTCTTCTATCTGATCCCTAAACTCATCCACCTTCTTCTTCTCTCGATTCTTCATATACTTTTGTCTCGAGACCTTCCTTAACCTCAAAATCTCATCGCTTCTCAAAACCTTGTCCCCAGAACTCAATTTCGCTTTCTTCTCTTCTTCTTCAGATTTTCTTCTTCTCTTTGTAGCAATTTTCTTTGGTATATTGAATTTTATAGAAACAGGAAGGCGAGATATTTTCTCCACAGATAAAAACATATCTTCGTCTTCTTCTTCTTTATGTTTACACAAATCCAGATTCTCACCTGATTCTTGTACCACAACTGGCGGATTCATCTCTTCCGGGAAATCAAGGGTCTTCTTCTCCATGACCGGGATTGTAACGAAATTGCAGAGATTGTGATTTCGATTGATCGAGAGACGAACCCTAATTCTGAGAGATGGCTCTGAAATATAACTTTTGTTTACCAAAAGAAACAAATCGTATATATAGTTCTCGTACGGGCAAGAGTCTCGATTTGGTTTGGGAATTTCCTTTTTGTCCGCCTTTTTTTATTTTTGCGTTTTTTTCCCCTTATTTTTAATTAAATCAGTCAACTAAACGTGATAAGCAAGGATAAATTAAATAATAGCCTAATAGGTGTAAATAAATTGTATAATAGACCACATCATCAATTTGTAAACTTTAATTGCTTTTAGAACGTGAAAATGAAAAATTTAATCACATCTACATAGTGTAGTTTTCCATCTATAAATTATTTAATCTTAATAGTTATATTTGTATGATTTTGTCCAATTAATATCAGTTAATTTGTAAGAATCTCATGAAATGTAATTTTACCATGTGTCTTACTTGCCTTCATAATTATGATAAGATAATAAATGTTTTCACATTAATTTTTAATTAACTATTTCAAAACTTAATCAATTTTTAGTTACTTGTTAAAAATATATTATTTGAAATTAAAATTATAAGATTTTTTGTTGTATATTTATTTTTCACCATCCTAGTACAATCTTATGAAACATGATATACAATTATACATATACACTTGAAGTCTGAAGACAAAGTTAGTTAGTTTGTGTTAAAAATCAAGAGATAAAAGGTTGGCAATAACTTGGGTGATGTCAACCCATAAATTAAAATATTAGAGATAAAATTTACTTTAGTCTAGTTATACTATGATAAATTTATTGAAAAGAAATCAAGGATACAATTTGAGGGCTTTGGTTATAGAAATATTGACGCAACACCAATCTCCGTGATTGGCCTTATGAACAAACACAAAGTGAATTACGGACTCATCACCACCGTATCCTCCCATCATAATCTCGATCTATGTTTGTGCGTATTAACACCCAATTTTTAACACAAAGTGTATGCATGGATTGTAGTCCACAAATTGGAGATAACATTACAAGTCTATCTCTGTGTTGGACGAAACCAACATCTCTATATACTCTTTTCTTCTAGCTGACAAGTCTTTCAAACAAGCTAGTGTTCACTCAACCTAGTTCAAGAAAAAGAAAAAAAGGAAAAAGAGAAGTGCACTTAATCTCCTCTCTCGTCTGTGGTCCAAATAAGTTTTGTGGTTATCCGCGCGTAAAAAGACATATATACACTTGAAGAACGAACAAGGTCGTGCCTTATGAAGAAAAAAACAAAACTTTGCTTTAGGTCCCCTTTTATATTATTTAAATTTCGGATCTCTGAATCTTGAATATTTTTTTAAAAGAGATGTGAATCTAAATGGAGCCAAAATAAACAGCTTCATAACAAGAATTATCCGCAGAGAGGCATTGACTTGGTCACAAAAATAATTAAAAGCTTGATGAAAATGCCATGTCATAGGATTATCATCTCATTTTGAAGCTTGTTACCACTTCCTAGTAAGTAGTAGTATCACACCGGCCGGTGTTTCGCCGTTTCATCTCATGGTCATGTTCAAGAAGATCTCTAGCATTATTTTTCACCTCATCCATCAAGAACAAAGCAAGTACTCACCGTGAAAGTTAAGCTTAGCTACTATGATAGATTTACTGATAAAAAAGAAACCAAGGATACGAATAATAATCCCCTACAAGGAGATATCTCTGTCTCTCTTACCCCGGATTGCTTCACATGTAAAGCTTATTCAAACTCAAATCAAATAACATAAAGGAAAGTACATGATAGAATCATAATCTAGTTGTTCCCCGATTAGATTGCTATCAAATCGGAATGTAGGAAGGATGATGAGACCAGACATTGTCACTAAAGATTGAAGTTTAAGTTTATCGTTGAAGAAAAGAAACCGCACGGAGGAGATACGCGAATAAGGTAGTTGGGACAGAGAAGAAAGCAGAATGGTCACTCTCCTCCAAGACATACAACTGAGAAGGTGGCCAATTCTCCACCAAAAGGTCTTGACGCACAGAATCAAATAGATTATCTTTAGCAGTCTTGATGTACACTCGAGGAACTTTCTCGGCCTCGGGATTTGGAGGCAGCTTACCAAGATCTTGAAAGGCCCTCACAGGAGCAGGACGCAACAGCTTAGATGACAAAGTTACGTCCTACCAATTTATATAAATATATATTTATTCACGAGATAATAATATTAGTGTTGAAACATAATTTATGAAGTGATTAAGAGAGTAACCTCAAGAGGGCTTTGGCTATAGTAATAGTGGCGTCTAAACTCCTGCTTCATGAGGATGCCAGTGGGTGGCTTGTCGGCACCTTCACCATATATGTAATCCCATATTTCTTCTTCTCCCACATGAATCTATCAAATACTCACAAGAGTTTAATAGCGAGTGGATTGATCTATATCTTCTATATATTATTTTGGATCATAACACAACAATAAAAGGAGAGGTGAGTTAGTAAAAGGGTCACACTCACGTTTGAAAGATTTGGAGAAGGGATGGATCCGGGTTGAACCATGGCAGAGGCGAGGTAAATGGCCATGGAGATTTTGTCTGTGAACTTGCAAAGAGCTTCGGTGACACTTCCTCCGCCGATGCTATGTCCAACGAGTATGACTTTGTGGTGAGGAGGGAGATCGGACAAGAGAGTGAAGAGAGGACGGTTATATTGGTCAGAGTCCATTACGGTGTTAGAGTCGGTGAGGCTGATGCCAGCGCCGGTGAGGTCCACGGAGGAGGATTTGAATCCGGCGGCGTCGAGAAGAGTGGTGAGTTTATACCAACACCAAGCTCCGTGACTGGCTCCATGAACAAACACAAAGTGAATTACGGGATCAGCACCACCATCTCCTCCCATTGCATGAATCTTGATCTATGCTTGTAGTACTCAACTTTTAGCACAGAGGGTATGCAGTTTTGGTCCACGCGGTTTGGACTTTGGAGATAACGTATAATCCTTTTTCCTTTTTCAAAAGGGTATCTAATAGTCGTAAAGAGTTTGTCTCTAATTTTGCTACCGGCTCAAATTTTCATTTTTAATTTTTTTTGTCACTTTCTTCATTAGCATGAGGTTGCAACTCATTTACACTGTGTGAAAAAATATTTATCAGTAAAACCAAAAATAAATCAATAAACGTTACAACCCTGAACCCACAACTTCTATTCCTTTTTTTTTGTCTAGCGAGCCCGAGAAGTCTCTTTCTCTAGTACTCCAAATTATATATATTTTTAAAAATACAGTGAACTTGAAGATTACAATAAATATTATTCTAAGACACACAAAAATGTAAACTAAAGATGCGAAAGTAAAATTAAATCTTTTAAATTTGATGTGTTACAAGTTAAAAGTTAATATATCCATCTAAGTATCTGAGCAAAACTGAAATCTTAACTATTGGAGTATTATTTTCTTGCTTAAAATGCAAAAAAAATGCCTAATATATATTCTAAAAATACTAATTATGGGATCCCTAATAATTTTTTTTTTTTTTGACATCTTTGGATCGACAAGGCCCGATCCATAGCCAATCCCTACTACGCTGGGTAACGCGACTTGGTGGAGTCGAACTCCGGTGGGGAAGGCGGAGTTCTACGCGGGATCCCTAATAATTATTTTGGTACTTATATGAAGATTCTACTTGGAGAACTTGCTTGCTATTAAATACTGTATGTGAACATGTATACATTTCATTATATAAAGTTTAATTAATGTGGTTAACTTTTTTTTTTGGTTAACTATAACGTGTCAAATAAAAATATTATACTAGATTAATATGATAATTTTTTCGAGTATAATATATAATCGAATGATTTGTGTAGTTGTGTTAGGGCTTATTGGTTCTCCCGCTATCATCCGTAACCTCTGCGTTTGCGGGTGGTTGCGGTGCAAACGTTTAAAGCTTATCATAAAAAAACGCTTCAAATCGTTATAAACAGCTATAGACCGCTCGGTAACGGTTGGCATTTTTTTATTTTATCAAATCCTATAAATTACAAAAAGATTAAAAAAAAAATCCGCAAACTCCCGCAATTGCAACTGCATCCGCTGTATTTAAACGAGACCCTTAGTGTCATCTCTACTACTATCTAAATTTGAATTCACATAATGCAAAGTAAGATGCAAACTACTACTAAATAGTAAATAGTACATACTAATACAAGTGCAAGTGGTAGGTAGCTCAGGGTTCAGGCTCATTAAGAAATAAAATTGGGCCGTAAAATAAAGGCCCATTATAAGTAGTGAGGAAACAGAAAAAAAGAGACTCACCTGACGAATCTCACCGGAGAGTCTAGATCTCTTCTCTTCCACAACGAAGTTTGGTTCATCACCGGCGAAATCCTTTTCTCCGACGTTATAATGCCGGTAAATTCCTCACCCAATGTGTAATTCTAGATCTCAATGATCTAATCTTCGCGTTCTTTCTCTGTTTTTCCTTTTCGTTTCCCCATGTTTGCTATTGTCTTGCTCCATATATTTGCTGATTCAGATTTCTCTTCTCGCGTTCTACGGATTTGCAGTTTAAGACGGTGATAGAAGTGGAGCCTCCGAGTCTGTTACGGTACTTGATCGGAGCGGCGGTGATGATGATCGGCGTTGTATTACCCGTTGGTTACATGATGTTCCGCAACAAACGCGTCCCCTTCTCGTCTTCGTACTCTAAACAGACGTAGGTGTGCTTTTTCTTTCTCTCTTTTGTGTTTTTTTCTTCTGATCTGCTAAAACACTCACAGCTTTAGGTATCTTCACGTTTGTTGTAGGCATAGTCTAAAATCACAATTAGAGTCAGTTGTTGATTGCTTTACATGAATGTATTAGAATGATCCAGAAATTGAGTAGTATTGTAACAATTTTGGTGTGTAGGAGATCAGTAACCATCATTTTAGTTTTGCCCTGAAATTAAAAACCTAAGCTTGGTGTGTAGGATATCAAATAACCATGGGTTTTAACTTTTAACCTTGAAGTCTAAAAATTGAATAAGTTAGGGAAGTGAATTAGCATTGTTCTCTTATCCTTACGATTTGGGAATGTTTAAGAGATGTATGTTTCCAGTGAAAATAGACTGAAAGCTTTTTTTTGAAAATGTTAGTTAGCCCTGTGAATGCTTTGTAGAGACTGAATGCTTTAGTGTACTTTGTGTGTTTGGATCGAGTTCAGGTGGGGAATCCATGGTTGATAGATGATCAAAAATTATAGTTGCTCCTCTTCGTTAAAGCTTGTTTAGGCTAAAAATTGGAAGGTGATCCTTTTGTGCTAGTCCAAGTAACCATGGAGTTTATCATCCTCACCAATTGATTGGTATTATAATCTGATATCTTTACTTTTTTCAGGAACAAAGTTTTGATATAGGAAGCCAGAGGCTGTGGTTGATTTCAACACTAAATTGAAAAGGATGATGACATATTGATGATTTGGACGACTGTAAAATTATGGTGGAATTCTTGTTTTTACATGGCTTGTAAGAGATCTTTCGATATCAAATTCATAAACCATAAAATGTGAGTTCTTTTTCTCTAATCTTCTTGTTTAGGTTTATTCAAAGGTCTATTATGTACACAACCTCTTCTCTTTGGTGGAAAGATATCATTCGATGGCTAGAGTTTTCATTAACTAAAGACCTGTATAATTACTGAGCTTTGCTCTTTGCATCTTCTTCTTGCTTTTTTATTTGCTTTTCTGTTTCTCTGCGGTACATGAAATGCTAATGACGTGTTTACTATATTCAAAGTTTCAAAACACTACAAAATAGTAGATATGGGTTTCAATAGGTAGGATTAGGACAATTACAAAATTTGTTTATAAGTATAGCCTCAAGTAGAGACATGCATAAACACTTTTGGTAATTGATTGAAGATTTGGTCAGATCGTGTTTGCGAAACCTAACAAAAATAAAACAACAGTGTGGTATGTTGTTAGTGCTTAACGCCATGTACTACTCATCCCACCTTCCCAATGCTTGTCCAACGCGGACTCTGTCTCCTTGTTTGACACAGAATCTGTAATCTGAGGAACTGCTTGAACCCTCGGGTGATTTTGCGGTTGGTGCTTGGAAAACGAGCACTACAGTAGATCCCATGTTGAATACACCTACCTGCATTGACCCATACATGAAACCATTTACCAATCATACGGACAAAAGAACCTTGTTACATTTCTTAAATTGGAATTTTTATTCTCTCTTTTGAACCTACTCTTACCTCTTTCCCTTTCTCGAGCTTTAAGCCAAGACCTTCTGGATCATACACCCGCTCTTCGGGTGGCTCTGTAGGAAATAGCTTCTTCTTTGGCTTGTTTGTTCTTAGCTCAGGTTCAATGAAAAGCTATCAAAGTAAAAATTTTAGCAAGTTACTTAATGTCTGGGGATTAAGAGTTTCAATTTTTCATCACACCTACCTCAATGGATCCAATGTTGGTCGCACCAACAGCAGCAAGTGCCATAAAACCTTCTTTCCATATCCCCTCAAGCACAACCTGTTAGATTAACAGCTGATGATCAATGTCTAGACACAAAAAAAGAAGGTCAGACATATTTGGTTGGTACAGCTACTATGAATCACAAAAATTACCCTTTCATTCTCGACATAGAGATTCCTTATTGTTCTTGTAGCACGCTCGTTCACGGGAAACAACCGGCCTGAAATTGGTTTTGTAGAGAAGATACCAATAGTCCAATCACACATAGGTTCCAAAAATTGTTGCAAAAGCCCAACCACACACAGGCTATTAAAGGATAGAGAGTAACCAAACCTGCAAAGTGTCGTCGGACCATCGCATTCCAGTCAACTGGAGAGTGTATTCGATGATAGTCCCCTGGTCGTAGGTATATCACACAATAATAGAGCCCCTTCATTGGACTGCGACAAAAAATCGATGAAATAAGTTGCTATTATTTTAACACTAAAGTTGCTTCGTAGATGTTTAAGGTTGATTTCTCGCTGACCTAGATGAGATGTTCTCCCGTAATTTTGGAGATGCCAAAGAGACTCTCAACCAAGATTTGTCACTCTTCTCTCCAACAGCTTCTTCCTCAGACTCATCTTTACCTTCAGGTTCCATGGGAAGCAGAGAGTTATTTCCTAGAAGAGCCGGTACTGAGTAAGAATGTCCTTTGACTTGCTCGATCATCCCTCTACTTCCTTTTAACTCCCCAAACCTTAAAATGGTGCCATCCACAGGACTAACCTGATATCATCAAAATCTTAGAGAGCAAAACTAAGAAAAAATTGTCTGCATAAAAGAAAGTTACAACGATATTGTTACCAGTTACCAGACAACAAGGATCGGGGTCGATAGGCCTGCAACCTTCGTTCAAGCTACGGACAAAGAAATCCTGTAACGAAGCATATTCTTTAAGAGGCAGAGCTGCTTCTTCAAGATCTGAAAACACAGCTAGATCAGTCTGGGAATCACTTTATTTTTTTCTTTCTCTTAGAGTCAAACCAACAGCAGACGTATACAAGAAGAAAGTGATCATACTTGAATGGAAAGCTCGAGCCCAGGCTTTATAAGCATACGGACGCATCCACACCGGAATTTCCTGAGAGGAAAAAGACCTAACAATTGAAAATCATGTTCAACAGTTACTACAAATGCTTCGACAAGAAGAACTCACCAGACTCATTAAGGAGCCCCAGGCTCTTGAGATTGATCGCAGAGGCAGAACTCCAAGGAACGAGGCCTAGACAACAACAATGACCACGAATGAACAATAAAGATTCGAGAACTAATAGACATTGAAGAGAACAAAAGCAAAAAGGGTTTTACTTTAACATCTGGGTGGAACTCAAGTTCGATTCCCCTTTCTCGTTTCTCTTCGATCTGTTCATCAAACAGTAGAAAACAATGCTAAGAAGATGTACCAAACTCTATGTAAATAACATTGCCATTGTCTACCTACCAAGTGAGTAACTACATTACCTTCTTGTCTTCATAGAGTCGGCGGGCATGAAGAGCTCCAAGCATAAGGATAGTAGCCATTGTTGCTCCGGGTAAAAGAAAAGCATTGCCTACATTGAGTGCAATAATGATTCAAGCTCAAAACCATAGAATTGATCTAACTGTAATCCAATTGGAACTTCACAAAGTGTTTCCTACTGAACAAAATCCTCACAGCTTAAACTCAGAATCTTTCCAAATTGTAATCTAAGAAATTGAACTCGCGAGCGCAAAATCTAAGTTTCGTAGCATATAACTGAGTTACCTTTGGAATCTCCAGTTCCACCACATCCGCCTCCGGCTCCGTTGCTACCACCGAGAGACGAAGCGCGAGTGCCGTAATAATTCGCACGGATATTGTTGAGGAAAGAGCTGAAAGTTCGACGATGATTATGGTGGAAGCGACGGAGATGTGAATAGCGAGCTAAAAAGTAGGCATTATGAGAAAAGCGAGGTTTCATGGTGTTTTTCCGGTGGCAGAGAAACCGCTAATTTTGCTCTGGGGTTTTAGGGTTGTTGTTGACCTGTTGAGTAAACAAACTATTTTTCAACGACAAGTAAAACGACAGCGTTTCTCCTCTTTACTTGTTGACTTCATTCTTTGTGCGCTTGCTAAAGACACTTTATCCTAATTGGGCTAATTTTAGCTCTTTTATAGCCCACCATTCTTTTATTTTTTGGGACAGCAGCCACTAGTCATTTTTGTATATAGTACATCAATGTGAAATTTTATTAAATGTATAAAGTTCAAAATTTTAGTAAATAAAATGACAATCATGACATGTAATTTTACTAGTTTGTACTTGTTGATTAATAATCATATTGCAACGGTCAACCTTAAAAGACATCGAATTTCGATTTCGGAGCAGACATCCAAGCTATCCTAATGGCGGTGCAAAATGTAATGTGTCGCGGAAATATAAAGATCATCTTAGAAGGTGATTGTAACTTGTAAGGTTTTTCATGACTTAATCCATGGGAGAATCTTAAATTTCATGGTCCATAATTGGATATGGAATATACAAGTTTGGAGGACAAATCTTTAAGTCCATTGGATTCCACGAGACTTGAATCAATCAGCGATTATCTTGTTAAAGTCACCAATTCCATTAGATCATCAGGATTTTTATGTGCCAAGATGTATTGTCATTTTTTTTTTTTTTTGGGCAAAGATGTATTGTCATTAAGCTCTAATTTTATGAAGAAGAACACTTTATAGGTCAAAGCTAATAAATTGAAAAGAAAAAAAAAATAGTTAGTTTTGGGCCGAAGCCCATTATAAACCCGAAACAGTAGTTTGCCGTTGATGAAACACAGTAGAAGAGCAAAGGACAGAGGAGACAAATCACGCCATAGATCGGAGCAAGATTCTTGGATCTGCCTCTTAAGACCAATCGGTGATTGAGTTCATCCACCAAATCTGACTAGACTCATCTCCGATCTTTTACTGGGAGTCAGTTTTTGGTTAAGCCAATTTTTTTTTTTTTTTTTTTAAGAATCGCTTAAGGCAGACGTTCTCAGGATTGAAAAATCAGCCTCCACTGTATGATAAGCTTGGTGGGTTTCTCCGTTCATCACTTTTCTTTAATTTTTGGCGAAAATCAAATTCATCGTTATCATCTTTCTCTGGTTTTTAATTTTGATCCAAGTTTAATAATTCCCAGGAATCTTTCAAGGCATACAAAGAAGGAGATCTACCGAAGATTAATACTGGCTTTCAGCAAAATAGGAATATCAAAGGCGGTGTTACTTTGATCGATAGTGAATGGTATTTCTATTGTTTCTTTTTCACTTTTAATATTTTGTAATTGAAATTGCTATGTATTGTTTAATGTAGATCCGTTCTGGTTAAAGGGTTTTGATTGAGTTCATCCTCAGGTATGTGTCGATCGGACCAATCTACAGTGATTAATAATCCTCAATTGCTTCCGTTTTAATCGTATCTGATTTGGAATTGGGAATCGATTTTTTTTTATTCGCAGTGACGTATAAACTTTAATCCCAGAGACAAAATCGAGTGGTGTAAAAATGGAGGATAGAGAGAATGCGAAGAGAGTAGTGTTTGTGACTGTAGGAACAACGAGTTTCGACGCGCTTGTGAAAGCAGTGGTTAGTGAAGATGTTAAAGACGAATTGCAGAAGAGAGGATTTACTCATCTTCTCATTCAAATGGGTCGAGGAATCTTTTTCCCAACTAAGGTTCTTAATCATCTTCTTTAACTCACTTCTTTACTTTATTGCTTTTGATTTGGATTTGATTATGAAAATTGGGGTTAGGTATTATTTTTGTTGTTGTTGTTGTTGTTGACTTGTACTCTTCTCTTGTTGAATTTTGTATTGAATCAGATTCCTTTGTAATATCATGCCTCTATGAAGCTTCTCATTTGTTTATTTTTTTCATTACTGATCTCAGTGTGATGGAGCAGATGGATCATTAGTCGTGGATTACTTCACATTTTCCTCGAGTATCGCTGATTATATTCGGTCTGCATCTCTTGTTATTAGTCACGCTGGTTAGTTTATGGGACTAGTTGAATACTTTTACATTTAATAGAATCAAAACCAGAGACCCATTTCGAAATGCTAGATTATAATGTCATTAACTCTCACTAATGTAGGATCTGGAAGCATATTCGAGACACTAAAACTCGGGAAACCATTGATTGTGGTAGTGAATGAAGATCTGATGGACAATCATCAATGTGAATTAGCTGAAGCACTTGAAGAGAGGAAGCACTTGTACTACACTCGTCCTCACACCCTTTATCAAACCTTGAAGAAAATGGAGTTGGAGTCTCTGGTTCGATATACTCCAGGGGATGGAACTCCTGTTGCCCGCATTATCGACAGGTTCCTCGGATTCCCTGATGATTAACCAGACATATGAAAACAAGTGCTTTGTCTTCAGATTCAACTAACCGGTGCTTTTGCCTTTGGACATTGTGTTGTGTCATAGATTCATATTTATTAATAGCACAGCTTTTTCTGATGTTTGAGAGGATAATCAATTTTGTTTCAACCAAGTCTGTATCATTCCAAACATAAAACATCCAGGAGGAAAAATTAACAATCAGATCATTTTGCTTTATTCATTAACTGATTGAGGAATTTATCGTGTGAACTATTAGAAAAATTGCAGCAATAACTACTTAGTTCAATCTTTGCAACATGTCCATTTTCTCTGTAAAGATATTTGCACTCAAACTTAAAGCTTATTCTAAACTTGTTGACTAATACAGAACTGAAAACTTAAGTTTCGTATACAACAAGATTAGTTTAATTCACAACACAAAATCAATGCTTTTCAAAATGGTCATATAGTGAAGGAGATTTGCATTGCTAAGGGGCCTCGACTCGATAGTTCTATTCCAAAACCGGACTAACATAAACAAAACAGCAAGCAAATATAAAATTTAGGTTCAAAGCATAATTGTATAGTCTCCAAAATTTGCAAAAACAAGTCATCCTGAGAGAGATAAAAGTGCAACAACATGGAACCTAGAAGATGATAACAGTGATAATAAAAGCAAAAGGCAATCAACGGTAACGGCGAAGGACGAGAGAGTTGTTCTTCTTCCATGTAGCCCTGCGAGATGGACGGTTCTTGTGGTTGTTGTGACCCTTTCCACGAAGACCTCTGTTCTTCTTTCCCTCTGAGGTAAGTCCTCTGAGCTCACGGTGCTTGTGAACTGGGTTGCAGATCCAGTTGATTCTCGGGTCATTACGCACAGCATTGTGTGCTGGGTCAACCAAGATGATCTCGTAGTACTTGTACGTCGAATCCTGTTGAAGACACCTGGTAAGTTAATATCCATATACCAGAATAATCACCTAAATGCAGAGTTCTGAAAGAAGGTAGTAATTTTACCTCATTGAGCCAGTAAGAGTTGACAACTCTGAGACCACCCAATTTCCTGCCAGCACGCTCCTCAGCAACAGACCGCTTGCTACGCTGGAACTTGAGTTGTGTCACTCCCTGGTTTGTGGGCTTACCATACACGATACCCTTAGACACTGGCCTCTTGCGTCCACCACGTCTCACACGGACACGGTACACAACAAATCCCTGACATACATGATCAACCCATCTATATTAGTAACAGGTAACTCCAGCAGAAACCACATAACCAGCAACGTTTCCATATCTCTCTACTAACAAAGCAAAGACATCAAAATCAAGCAACTTAAACTAGATCATATACATATATCACATCAATATCAACAAAACCTCACTCTCTACACTCAAAGATCTCATTTTACCAATAACAATCAACATCAACAAAACTCATTTGACAGCTAAACAACAGTGATCACCAAAATCAGCCAAAAACTCCAAATTTAGGTTATAATGAGTCACCTGCTTGGCCTTGTAACCCAAACGACGAGCCTTATCAGGACGAGTAGGCCTGACAAGACGAACAATCGAAGGTTGCTGTCTGTACTCCCAACACCTAACCCTCTGGAGAAATCTCATCACATCGGACTGTTTCTTCCTCCATAGCTCCGATACATACTTGTACGCACCTAAATCAATCAAATCATTAAGCCAAGTAGTTCACAATAACAGATCCGTAACACAAACATCATTTCAACAACAAAAGAGATGCTAAATCGATCTAAGAAACGATGAGATTTGATCTAGACGAAAGATGGAGAAGAAGGATTTACCCATTTTCGAAGTTTCGCAGAGCCGCACAAGACTGGCGCAAGTGAAGGGTTTGTTCCTGATTTAAAGTGAAAGACTAGGGTTTTATCTCCAAATGGACCTTTATATTATACGTAATTGGGCTAGTGTAGTTAAATATAAAAAAGCCCATAAGAGACTAATACTAAATGGGCTTTGAAGTTCTGACTAAGGCCCCTTAATTTCTTCAAAGACGAACACACACACAACTTTTATTGAGTACAAGAAATTTTTCATCATTTGACAAAATTCTATAACATTATTATGTATAAATAGAAAACTATTTTTTGCACAAAAAAGTAATTATTTGTTCATATGATCGATCAGTATACCTATGGTAGTATCGATTAATAGTTAACTAATTTTATCCATTTTTTTGAAAGTGATGCAAAAATCACCGTCCCAACGAGGCAACGACTATAGTTGGTCGTTGGCTTTAACATAAAATCGTATAAATGAATCCAACGATCACTAGCAAAAACACATGTTTATTGTGAAAAACGAGAGTTAGCAAAACTAAAGACGTATAACAAGTATTATCAAAAAAAAAAAAAAGACGTATAACAAGTAACAACTCCACAAGTATGTTTTAGACTTTTCTAGTTGAATATGCAAAACTGAGTACGTTTTTTATTTTTGTCTTGGAGAATCAAATAATTACAAAACCATCTACAGTTGTAATCCCAAAAAGAATATGTGTCCCATATTTCGTCGTATTTCCAAGTCATTTATATTTCGTGTTTTTCGTTGGTATAATCATGAAGTAATTTTGTCCACTGAAGTCTTAATCTTCTTAAGATCTGTTATACTCCATAGTTATTTTAGTGGTCAATCGGATTCATATTTGGTACATGTGATGCTTTCAGCTATTATCATTGGTTAATGGAGATTCTCGTTTTCTTAATTATATCGATTTATGACCTAATTTTCAATGTAATATCAAACAAAATAGGTATGAGCCTACGTGAATTGTTTTAAACGTGTTTCAAATTATAATATGTATGTGTGTATCTTTTTTTTTTTTTTTCCGCAATGTGTGTATCTTATTTAATATAAATTTGATTGCTAAATGTAATGATGAACATAACTTTTAAAATTGTTAAATATGATGAATACAAATGTTAACCTTATTGTCGCCCAAGCCTCTGTGGTCTAGTGGCAGAGGAAGCTTTGGTGAAGGGTGAAACTCCCAGACCCGAGTTCGATTCTCCCTGGAAACAAAAACACATTTGTTTGGGAAGTCTGTCAGTTGGGCCTTGGCCCAATTGGTTTACCTGGTAGTCAGAAATGCAGGCGGCCTGACTACCCCCTGGCATTAGTCGGAAGGCATTCCAAACTCGGATCAGGCAGTGTGGTGGCCCAATTCTACCTGGATCGGGAGAAGTCCACTCTGTAGCACTTCGGTGCGTTCCTACCGAGGCCGACCGGATCAGCCGATAGGGTTTATCAAAAAAAACCTTATTGTGTATCTCATGTGAGGAAATCAACCTTTCTTAAAAACTTAATTAAAAAGTGAGAGATATACGAATCAGTTGTTTCGTAGTTTTAAGAAAATAGAACAAGTATATAGTTCAATTGATTTAAACGATACAACTTTTTGTCGGCCTCTACATGTATAAATATGTACATCAAGTGTAGTGCTTGACAGAGAGACAAAAAATAAGCCACCAAAGTGTTTGTGTTTTATTTATCAACTCCCTTAACCTGTACAAATGACTGCTCACAATCTCTGCTTCAATTCACCTTTTGTTTGCAACGTTCATCATCAAAACACTCAGCATTTCCCTTGTAACGCAATCTCCAAAACGACCTCGGCTCATGCTGTCACCGCCCGCCGCCGTTCCGCCAGTTATCGTCCACCTCTATGGGATCATCAATATCTCCTCTCACTCGAGAATATATATGTGGTACATACAAAATTTGCATCCTATTCATGCACAATTCATCAAAACATATTATCAGGACAATATAACGTTTCCAAAGACTCCATATGCATGACCTAAGGCTAAAATTATACCACTTCTGATTTTTATTTGTTTGTGTAATAAGAAATCCAATTTTTTCACCCATAAAATGGAGTCAAAAACTTTTTGTTGTTGTTAACATATGCTTTAAATCGGACCTGAATAGTATATTATATTAACTACTATACAATGCTCTCTCTCTCGGTATATAGAAAGAAGCTGAAACCGCGGAGAAAGCTAAATTGTTGAAAGAAGAGGTGAGGAAGACACTAGGTGAAATTGAAGGTACTATTGAGCAGCTGGAAATGATCGATTCTTTGCAAAGACTCGGAATCTCATATCACTATAAACACGAAATTCATGATATTTTGAAAAACATTCATGACCAACACGGCGAAATTGAGAGGGAAGCACAAGATCTTCATGCTACATCACTTGAATTTTTTCTCCTAAGGCAACATGGTTTTGATGTCTCGGAAGGTTTTTTACATATTACCTCATTTTATTTTATTATAATAACTTGTAGTTTAACAATCATGTGACTAATCTTTCTTTTTTTGGGACTAATCAAGTAATCGTTTCTTTATATACCAAGTAGTAACTTAAAGGAGTTGAATAGTTCAAATTCTTTCGTATAAATTATAAAAGTATTCGTATTTCCTATTGCAGATGCTTTTGACGTTTTCATAAGTGAGGCCGGGGTATTCAGAAAAACTCTACGCAGCGATATCAAAGGGTTACTCTCTCTATACGAAGCTTCTTATTTTTCAACGGATTCGGAGTTTAACCTCAAGGAGACTAGAATTTATGCAAAAAAGCGATTAAGTGAGTTTGTCGCGGAAAGTAGCAAAACTATTTGCAGAGAAGATGAAACTTATATATTTGAGATGGTGAAACGAGCACTAGAGACGCCGTACCATTGGAGCATACGAAGATTAGAAGCAAGATGGTACATAAATGTGTACGAACACAAGCATGAAATGAACCCTCTCTTGCTTGAGTTTGCAGCAATTGATTTCAACATGTTACAAGCTAATCACCAAGAAGAACTTAAACTAATTTCTAGGTAATTCTGAACTAAATTCTATACATATTATATAATTTTTTTATATATATATCAAAGTGGATTATATATGTTTATATGAGTTAATTAATTATTTGATTGTCAATTTAGTTGGTGGAACAGCACAGGACTTATGAAACAACTTGATTTTGTGAGAGACCGAATCACAGAGAGTTATTTTTGGACCATTGGAATATTTTACGAGCCAGAGTTAAAATACTGCCGCATGATACTCACCAAAATATTCATGTTAATTGCGATTATGGATGATATCTACGATATCTATGGTACATTAGAGGAGCTCGAGATTTTCACAAATGTTGTCGAAAAGTAAGTATATCGTATTACAAGTATAAGAAACTTTTAAATAACCAAATGTTTGAAAACTTTTTAAGATGATTTATGGTATAAAAAAATCATATTCTGAATTGTGTCTCCCATGAGAAATTTTTTTTTCTGTTAACAGCCATAATATGAGTTATAATCCATATAATATACTCTTTTCCAGATGGGATGTGAACCATGTTGAAAGACTTCCCAACTACATGAGAATTTGTTTTCTTTTTCTATACAATGAGATCAACCAAATAGGATACGATGTTCTCAGAGACAAAGGACTTAACGTTATCCCTTACCTCAAACAAGTTGTAAGTTTTTCTACAAATTAAATCATTTGGTATATAGAAAATGATGTTATTTAATTAGAAATTTTTATTTTTATTTACGTAGTGGACGGATCTATTTAAAACGTTCCTAACGGAAGCAAAGTGGTACAAAACTGGACACAGACCAAGTTTCGAAGAATACATGCAAAACGGTGTGATCTCGAGTTCTGTCCCAACGATACTGCTCCACCTTTTCTCCGTCCTATCCGACCACATCTCCGACCAAACCCTAACCGATGTTTCCAAAAACGACTCTGTCGTCCGGAGCTGTGCCACCATTCTCCGTCTCGCTAATGATCTCGCCACCTCAACGGTACACAATTTACTCGTTAATTAGTTTCTCATAATTTTTTTGGTATATCTCATTTATTTTAGAAAATATTTATTCTTCTGGCCCAAAACATTTTCAGCATATCTAAATATTATTAGTGATGAATGATATACCATTTATTTATGTTTCACTTTTTGAAAAATGTGATTATGCTATATTATATACCATTAAGAACATACACTTTCACGTTTTAAAATATGATTTCGCTATATAATACACATTTTAAAAATAGAAATTCATTAATATACAATAATCAGCTTTCTAGTGTTTCATGATTGTTCAAAATTAATTTTTTTTTAGCTCAAATATCTATGCTATTTATTTTTCCGTCTGTATATATGGTTCAGCTGACATTGTTTTTCAAGAGGTGATTAACCATATGTCAACATCACTAAACATGTTTTTATATTTCAAATTTAGTTTTTTTTTTTCTATTTTTCCGATTAATAATGGGGATTGTTTTTTCTAGCATCTACTGATTGATAAGAAATTGAGTTTGAATAGTCGTAATGTAAATCTTGAGATATTACACGAGTAACAAAGATTCTTATAATTAATTTTGTATAATCTAGAAAAGTTTCCACTGATGTGTTAAACATTAATTGGAAATAACTCCTAAAACAATGTAATTTGAATTTCTAATAAAGTTAAAATGAGAGAAAAACAGAAAAAACAATCAGTACGTAACTTTAAAACTTACCATTAAATATCATTAGTTTTTAACACCAATTTGTTGACAAAAAATTAAACAACACTGAGATAGTTTCATGTATAAATAATATAATTTTTCCACAAAAAAAAAAGAATAAATCATAAAGCGCTAAATTTGAATGATTCACAGGATGAGATGGCAAGAGGAGATTCCCCAAAGTCAGTCCAATGTTACATGTATGAGACAAGAGCCAGTGAGGAAGAGGCACGTAGACACATGCAAAGTATGATCAGCGACTCTTGGGACGTCATAAACTCCGATTTTAAAACAGCACACACTTCTTCTCTTCCTCGTGGTTTCGTGGCAGCCGCCGCAAATCTTAACCGCGTGGTACAGTGTATCTACCAGCACGGTGATGGCCACGGCAGCCCCGAAAAGACCAAGACCGTTGATTATATCCAATCTTTACTCTTCAATCCCGTTCCGTTATAGGATTGTAAATTTGCATTTGCCGCATTATAGATATGTCTACATAGGAAAATAGTATTTGGTATGCTTCACATTAATTATAAATGTTCTCAAATTAGCTTTAAAATAAGGGTTTAATTTGGTGAATATGCTTTCTTTTTTTTTTGGTAATCGAAGAGTTTTGTACCCGCAGGTCTGCAGTCTCCTTATAAAAGGAATCATAGCATATATAAATTAATTGTCCGATGTCAGTAAAACTCAAAGTCAAAGTCAAAAATCATTCGAGGTTATTTCATGTTTTTTTTTCCAGGTTATTTCTGGTTAATAGAAAAAAAAATGAGTTGTTTGGCTGAAATTCATTTATTATTATTTACTGCATGGCAATGCTTCATGTTTTTTTTTACTTTCAATTGTATTTTAATCTTAATTAATTCAAATTATAACATATGTCCATGATTTAACAACGTGTTTGATAAGTTTCTCTAAAAGCAGTTTAGCATATATATTTTTTTTTATTTATACATTGATACATACTATTAGATACATACATATATAGATGTTGTAGTTTATGGGGGCACATGCATCCGTTGATATTCAAAACTTAGTATAAGTAGTCTTCAAAAAAATATTTTTTAGATGAGATGGCTAAAGTCTTATTGTGCCTTTCTATTATCCCAAGATTGAATCCCCATTTCATTCAGAAGCACTAATACAAACTACTGAGCTATAAACTCGGGTAAAGCTACATGTGTATTTTTAATCCACTCAAAGCTCCTGAAATTATGAAATATGAACGATATAGAAGTGACAGGAGCTTGAGTGCCCCATGAGATAAGAACGTATAGATGTATATTAATACAAATTGTACTGTCTAAACCTAGACAACGCCGTGACGTCTTAGCCCACATGTGATTATTCGTTACCACCTCTCTTAGTGTGGTCCAACAAAATTGGCCTCTCAGTTTGCATAGAAGACAGGGATATATATATACAGGTAGTCACATGGAGACTGAATCGATATTTATTCTTTGGAATTTCATTAAGATTTTTTGAACCACGAGACAAGCAATGCATGAATCTATTTGACATGCCATTAACGTGAACTAACGGTGGATACTGACATATCTCGTACTTGTTATTAATAAAAAAAAAACTCAAGATATATATTATACCATGTCCACACGTTTTTTTTATTAAATATAAATTTTTTTCCATGTCCACAAGTTTGACTAACATTTAAGATATTTGTCAAACTTGACCTAAAAAAACGCAAATGGAACCAACCCATACGAGAGTATTACTTTAAAAAAAATCCAAATAAGAAAATAATTCGAGTTAATGACACGATTAAAATGGGAAGATTTGAGATTGTGATGATATATGACTAATTTGAAAAGATTCAAAGTGTTGCTTAAAATATTCTTATCGTTGATGTTTTGCCGGATATGTGTGATGTATTTGGTGATTTAGAACTGGTGAGTTTGAGTTATCAACTTCAGTGATGAAAAATGGGAATATTGAAAGTACATATGCTTGTCGAACAGATTCAAAGCTCTTGGAGCAAATTGTGCCGGAACATTATTTGAAATCAACGTGGCTAAGGTTAATTCTCATTAAATCGTAGAAAATGTATATCAATTTAAAAGTGATCTAGGAAGATATATATTTTTAAGGCGACAAATATGAAGAAAAAGAGAGCCATGATGATAGTTTGCCCAAAAAAAAAAAAAAAAAAAAGAGAGCCATGATGATATTTGAAGATATGAGAATTCTGAAAATATTAGATTGTAGGAAGAAATAATCTCCTAAGATAATTAGGAAATTTGCTACTTTTGCAAAAGGAAAAAGGGCACAATTCTGTATGACTGTATGAGTAACATATACAAGAGATAGAATGAATCTATGCTAGGATTGGCTGAAATATTGATAAAGAAACGAGAATCAAGTTTGGGTTCTATTAAACGAGTACGAGTTTGCTTGGTGGAACTTAAGTCTTCGTGGTGGAAAATATTTTATTTTCTATGTTGTTTTCACTTTTCATTGATCCAAAATAGATTTAAGAAGATTTTTTTTTATTATAAGTTAAAGACGTGTATGTCATGTTGAGTACTAAAAATTAGTTGGTGTTGAGAGAAAAGATGTCTTAGTCTCGAGTAATGTCAATTAGATAAGATTTTGATCACTAAACATTGTGAGAACAAATAGATGATAAGATATGACTGATTAAATAATCTTAATTAGGTAAGATTTTGTTCACTAAACATTGTGAGAACAAATAGATAAAATCTGACTGATTACATATTAATTTGTTTTCTAAAAATGTAAATATTTCATTAAAAATAAAAATGTTTTAGATTTATAAACCTATACAAATTATCTCATGGCAAAAAGATAATAACATAAAAGCATAGTTCATAAAACAATTTTAGTCCATCCACTCAACAGAATTACAACGGCTAATGGAATTAGACGAAGTAATGATGATATTGTTGTTTTTCCCAGATCCGTTTGGGACCGTGGTTTGGGTCCAATGCTATAATCCGCTAATTATAACCCAAAAAATCTAGCTAAACCCTCCCCCCCCCCACCCCACAAACCTCACAATTCGATATTACTGGTTCAACCTATCGTATTTTAAAATATTGATTAATTTTTAATTTTTAATTTTAATTTATATAATATATTAGGTAAAATATGTTATTGTAATGTTTTGGATTTTGATGAAGATTTTACTATGCCGCTCGAAGAAAAGAAACGAAATGGTGATGCAAATAACTAAAAATAACCAAGAATGGTTGATGTGATGCATTAGTTTATTTCATCATTGGCGATTTACACCATGGTGTTTTTGTTTATTTAAGTTTTCTATTCATGAAACATAATATAAAATGGTATATAGAACTTTTATTATTCTATTGACATGCGGTCGACCTAGTAACCCGTTGAATTGGAAGATAATTCGGTTTATAATCCAGGTCGAATTAAAAAAACATTGCTCTATATCAGTTTACATATATATATATGCTCACCGTTATTGTAAGCAATCAAGGTTTTTCTCTGAAAAATAGATTCAACCGTTCGAAAAAATGTGAAATTTGACATGAACAATGTATATTGAAAACTTTGAGCCAAAAACACATATATTATTCCTAGATTTCAGCCGGTTTTTATGGATCTAATATATGTGGAAAATGAGACGCTGTCCAAAAAATATGGCAATTGTACAAAGTACTAGATTCAAATTACATCAAGTAATTAAAAAGGTCCCTTACATGACTAAAAAGGTCCCTTATGTTTTGTGTTGATAGTTTTGTACTTTGTCATAGTGGTTAATTCTCGGCTTCATAGTTTGCCCAACGTTGTACATCCAAAATATTTTTATCCACACAAATGTTGTATGCCTGTGGCCTTGTACGCATATAGAGAACAATTTTCGTATGTTGGATATATATACATTGGGCCCGGGGGTTTGTCACTCTCGAACACCTGCACGGATTTTATTATTAATATATTAATTGTTTGTTTCAATAATATAGAAATGTATATATACCAATAAATAGTCTAACAAAATTTCAATGAAATTTCTAAAAACAAATCTCATGATTACACAAATTTTTATTTTTATATCTAAAAAATCAACACTATATACCATTGGTAGAGTAGTTGGCCAAGATTAAATGTTTTTATATTAGATATTGTTGGAAGACAAACCAACGTCGCATATCGGAAAGATTAAAACATAATATTCTAATATATAAGTGAAGTCTAACTCTAATTATTATGAGAGCATTTTGGGAAAGAACTCAAAACCGAATTCGTGGGGGCTTGGCCATTGAGTCCAAAGCGGACAATATCGTACTAATGGGGAGTTGGATTGGGTTTGGAATTAATATATGAAATTTGATTACTATCGTATGTAATTATTGTAGATTAATGTAGGCAAATTTATCAAAAAAACTTTTATTATTTTAGTATCGTGTAGGTATAATCGTTCTTGGTGGTCTCGCCGTCTCGTATACAAAAAATAAAACTGTTCATCGTGAATGTAATGGATGTAAAATTGTTTATTGCAAATCTTTGTGATGCATGTAGATTTGTCATTTATCAAATCTTCAGTGAAACCGTTTAAATTTGCTCGTTGTGAAGGTTAAAAATCATCTCTTATAATAGTAATTAGTAAAGATTATTTACGATATAAATAAAATTAAAAAAAAAAAACTAGCAAGATTGAATCTACAATCAAACTTCTAACTCTACGTTTATACTTCAAAATATGAAGTCAGCATCCGAACGAATATATATTGCTTAAATTTCAGATATTTTTTGGGACGTTGAAAGCAAGAAACGGAAATGTTTGGATATCTACACCGTCCACCGAAATGTTTTAGCCATTACTTCTCCAAGATTTTTTTTTTTTTGTGGGAATAATACTTCTCCAAGATATTTATGAAAACGCAAATGGTCATTAAATTATTTATAGCGATCGAGTAAAACGATATATACTAAACTGATTGAAACAAATATTATTTTAGTAAAACAGAAAAAAAAAAAAATATCTTCATAGATAACCTGTGGTCCGAGACCCAAACCTTAATCAATATAAAATATCATAGCGGAGTCTAAAGAAGAGTTCATCCAATTATTTAACTCTTTAGTGTAATCATTAGCAAAGCAAAGAAATGCCTAAACGACATGTTCAACCGCGTTTCACTCGCAAGGCTGAGTCAAAGACACCATCCCAGCCTCTTGTAGCCCGTCGCTCTGCAAACTATCAACCGTCTCTTTGGGAGCACGAGTATCTCCTCTCGCTCGGTAATACATATGTGGTACGTATAAAAAATCTACATGACGTCGTGTTAAATATATTACTATTCATGAAGTTAGATAGTGATAATTATATTTATATCATGCAGAAAGAGGACAACATCGAGAGAGTTATGTTATTGAAGCAGGAAGTGAGTAAAATGCTCAATGAAACGGAGGGTTTACTCGAACAGCTAGAGCTCATCGACACTTTACAAAGGCTTGGAGTTTCTTACCATTTTGAACGTGAAATCAAGAAGACTCTAACGAATGTGCATGTAAAAAATGTGAGAGCACACAAAAAACGGAGAGATCGATGGGAAGACTTATACGCGACCGCCCTTGAGTTCCGACTCCTACGGCAACATGGTTTCTATATCGCAGAAGGTTGAAAGCAAAAAAAAAAAACGATTTTATTTTTTACACAGAATCCAAATTTTCAACTTTTAGTTCGAAGTTTCGAAAATAAATTATATAATGTTCGTCTTCAGTTCTGACTCTATATTCTAGTTCTGAACTTTAAGAAAAGAAAAAAAAAACAGAAATTATAATCAACTAATTACTGTTGTTAATTAATAACCATATGTTCATATTGCAATCTCTTGCAGATGTTTTATACGGAAATATTGGAGATGATTTGGATGATAAAGACATCAAGGGTATTCTTTCACTATACGAAGCTTCATATCTCTCGACCAGAATCGATACTAAATTGAAAGAGACCATATGCTATACAACAAAACGACTTAGAAAATTTGTGGAGGTTAATAAGACTGAGAACAAATCTAACACTCTTCGGAGGGTGGTGATCCATGCGTTAGAGATGCCGTACCACCGGAGAGTGGGAAGATTAGAAGCAAGGTGGTACATAGACGTGTACGGAGAGAGACACGACTTGAACCCTATCTTGCTTGAATTCGCGAAACTTGATTTCAATTTCGTACAAGCTATCCATCAAGACGAGCTCAAATCTCTCTCTAGGTAAGTTAGCAATTAAGTAACTCAAGATTCGTGGACTTTGAGTAATCATACATGAAATCTGAAAATCACTAATATATATATATATAAAGAACAAGTTCGTCATATGTTCTAAGAGTACATTAGTAAACATATACATGTATAACCGATTCAGAGTTCGAATTCCAACTAAAAGAATCGGAAATGAGCAAAAAAACCATCATCTCAAGAGAGACGTGTTAAAAATCTCACAATATAAATGAAAAGAGACGTGTTAAAATCTCATAATAGAAATAAAATCTCTATTAATTGTTTTTAGTTGGAATTTCATGATTTCTCATAATTTATCTGTTAAAACTGTGACTTGACTTTCAAGAAAATTCGTTATATCTTAGAATTTTTATAGATAAGAATAAAGTGTAAGTCTATATAGTTCATCTTTTTATATGTGTGAAGCAGTTGGTGGAGCAAGACGGGATTAACAAAACACCTCGATTTCGTTAGAGATCGAATAACGGAGGGTTATTTCTCGAGTGTTGGAGTAATCTATGAGCCGGAGTTTGCATATCACCGACAAATGCTTACAAAAGTTTTCATGCTTATTACAACTATCGACGATATATACGATATTTATGGGACATTGGAGGAGCTTCAACTATTCACAACCATAGTTGAAAAGTAAATAACAATACCATGAAAAATAATATCAAACTATTTCGTTCTATATATATTTGCTCTTAATCTTCAGTGAATCGATATATCATGCAGATGGGATGTGAATCGTCTTGAAGAACTTCCCAAGTACATGAAGTTATGTTTTCTATGCCTCGTCAACGAAATCAATAAGATTGGATATTTTGTACTCAGAGATAAAGGGTTTAATGTGATTCCTTACCTCAAAAAATCCGTACGTATTCTCATCATTTTATCTATGTATTGTAATTAGCGTCCGTTCACAATTTTGTGGTTTATATAAGAGTATAAAAATAAAAAATAGACGTTATAATTAGTGTGATACGTTAAAGTTAGCTATAAGTTCTCGTAAGGTGCAGCAATGAATTATCTACCGAATAGTCTTTTGTTAAGTTATTTAAGATTTTTCTAACAATTTTATAGAAAATAAATGAAGTTCGTTTTCCCTTCTCATATTTTTGTCACCAAGATTTTTTTTAATATCAATATATGAATTTTTACATAATTTTTTCTCTACATCTCTTTATAAATTAGTTTTGTCTTTTTAGTGGGCAGATATGTGTACAACGTTTTTGAAAGAGGCAATGTGGTACAAAAGTGGTTACAAACCTAACTTCGAAGAATACATGCAAAATGGTTGGATCTCAAGTTCAGTCCCTACAATACTTCTACACTTGTTCTGTCTCTTCTCCGACCAAGCCTTAGACATTCTTGTCTCCTACAATCACTCTGTAGTTCGAAGCTCCGCCACCATCCTCCGTCTCGCTAACGATCTCGCCACTTCTTCGGTCAGTCATGGTTTCACAACGTACAATATATAATTTTTTGACAGATCATAAGCGATTAGATTAATTTAAACAAACTTTTTTTCAAAATAAATAAACAAATTCAACTAAAATATGGGGACTCAGACAAATTAAATGTTTCAAATGTATGTCCAAAGTGTCCTAAATAGAGTTGTTTTAACAGGAGGAATTAGCGAGAGGCGACACTATGAAATCCGTACAATGTCACATGCATGAAACAGGAGCTTCTGAGGCAGAGTCACGCGCGTACATTCAAGGAACGATTGATGTGGCTTGGGATGACTTAAACTTGGAGAAAAGGAGTTGTAAGTTGCATCAAGGTTTCGTAGAAGCTGCGATTAATCTTGGACGTGTGGCTCAGTGTGTTTATCAGTACGGTGATGGCCATGGCTGTCCTGACAAGGCTAAGACCGTCAATCATATCCGGTCCTTGCTGGTCCACCCTGTTCCACTCAATTAATTAATTACTGTCATTTCTAATAATAAGTCTTAAATCACACAAGTATTGGATTAGTTCAAAGAGTTGAGAGATGCATTTGTATTCTCTCCTCAGATTATAAAATGCATGTGAACATTTGTTAGCTTTTCTCACGATCAAGAGCTAGTAAAATTAAGTTAATTGAATATTGTGTAAAATAATTTATAAGTAAATAAACATTCACTTGATCAAGAGACGCCTTCTGTGGACAACCATGTTTGCACAGTATATACTAGTGGTTATATAAGAAAAGAAAATTCCAATAGTTTTAACATTTAAGCTATGTGAGATAATTTGAAAAGACGAAAACTGATTTTGGAGGAGTAGACACAATTTGATCGGAAAATGGAGAAGCACTACATATTGTCCACAACAAAACTAATAACAGCTCAGCGTGTAAGGCCGACAAACAACGTCAAGAGCCCTTCAATCCCATGTGATATATAGCTAGATGCGGGTCGTGTCTTAAAAGGCACCAACCAATCCAAAGCCATTTTGTCGTCTCCGTAGCTTTCTAGGAAATGTCAATTCGGCATATGGCAGAAGAATCTTCGTTTCACCATCTCTACAATACGTTACCTAGCTAATCTCGTATCAAATTATTATCTTTGTTATCAGTTACGTTATCACTATAGCACTAAACCAACAGTTCTTTTTTTTTTTTTTTTTTTTTCCCGCTTTTCAATTCTATGTTTCTCAACCAAGTGATGGATAATTCACAAAAATAAAACTTTTTTTTTTTTGGTCAATTACAAAAGAAAACTTATTCATGGAAATAAACAAATAGACAAATGGTTGCCATTGAATTACGCGAGAAGGGTTTAGACTTTAGAGTTTAGACTGATGTAGAGCACACGTCAGCTTACACTTAAAAACACGATTTTAGATCCGATTCTAATTATTCCTAAAATTAGAATATACTAAAGGTTAATTATAGGCAACTTAAGCTAATAATACGGAGGGAAAATACATAGCATTAATTACCGTTACCATCTACTTAACCATAACCTCCATCCACATTTCTCCCCTCTGGATCGAGAAATCTCCGATCCATTCTTCTTCGTCAGCCAAAATCCCCACTTCACGAATCGCAAAGATCAAGGTACGTGTCCGTTTGTAGAATTAGTTTTTTTTTTCTTGCAGTTACTGGAATCTCAAATGGATTTTTCGTTTTTTTTGGATGATCAGGTATTGATCTATTGCGAAATTAGGGTTTGTGAATTTGAGTCGGAGATTAATAGCATAATTTGTGATGGAGTGTTCATCACGCATAGAAGAATTTTGATTTCGATCTTGATGAAATTAGTAATTGAGGGGTTTTATTTATAAGATGGTGAATATCAAAAGCCCTTTGCGGCTATTCATAGAGGATTCGATTAAGGAATTAATTAGGGGTTTCAGGAGACAAAGGATCAAATGGAGAAATGCGTTTCTTCTTGGTTCTATAATGACTACCATTGTTGTTCTGCTTCATACACCGACGTTTTCGGTCTTCTCTGATGAAGAAGAAACCGAGTCTTCTTCGCCTATTTATTTGAATGGTTCTCTGCATTTGAATATCCAAATTGTTAGTAGTGATGCAAAAGTTGAAAATTTCCATGCTCTTAGAACAAGAACTCCTATAGTACAATTGAATGCTTCTGAAGCAAGTGGAACCGTTATTTCGAGGAAAAGGCGAAAAAGGAAGAAAAGAAAGAAGACGAAAGACGAACTGATTCTCCCTGATCCTCCACCAGCACAACCACATGTTCTATCTTCTTCAGAGGTCAGGTTATATCAGACTTAAGAGGTTTTAAGTTTCTCTGTGTTTTCTCTAAACTCACTCCAATGCAATTGAGCAGAGACGTGCTCTTTCCTTGCCACCGAAGAAAGCTCTTACTTATGCAAAACTCGAGATTCAGCGTGCCCCGGAGATCCTCAATGACACGGATCTGTTTGCTCCATTGTTTCGAAATCTCTCTGTTTTCAAAAGGTAAGCAATTTCACAAGGACCAGCGTTGATCTGAATTAGAGTTAACACATGTTTTTATCACCTTGTTTCAGGAGCTATGAGCTTATGGAACTAATACTAAAGGTCTACATATATCCCGACGGAGAAAAACCCATCTTCCACCAACCGCATTTGAACGGTATATATGCTTCAGAAGGTTGGTTTATGAAGCTAATGGAGTCAAACACACAGTTTGTCACAAAGAACCCTGAGAAGGCCCACTTGTTCTACATGCCATATAGTGTGAAGCAGCTTCAGACAAGTATCTTTGTCCCTGGATCACATAACATCAAACCATTATCAATCTTTCTTAGAGACTACGTCAACATGCTCTCCACCAAATACCCTTTCTGGAACCGCACTCACGGATCAGATCATTTCCTTGTCGCTTGCCACGATTGGGTATCGAAAATGTTTCTACCTTAAAGAACAATTACTTCACTCCTTTTTAATGTTATGATCTCTATTTCCAAAATCCTCCTTGTGCAGGGTCCTTACACAGTGAACGAGCACCCAGAGCTAAGACGAAACGCTATTAAAGCTCTCTGCAATGCAGACTTATCAGACGGAATCTTCGTCCCGGGAAAAGACGTTTCTCTCCCGGAAACATCCATAAGAAACGCCGGGAAACCATTACGCAACATCGGAAACGGAAACAGAGTTTCTCAACGTCCCATCCTCGCTTTCTTCGCTGGAAACCTCCACGGTCGTGTCCGTCCAAAGCTTCTAAAACACTGGAGAAACAAAGACGATGACATGAAAATCTACGGTCCACTTCCACACAACGTAGCTAGGAAAATGACTTACGTACAACACATGAAATCAAGCAAATACTGTCTTTGTCCAATGGGTTACGAAGTGAACAGTCCACGAATCGTTGAGGCTATATACTACGAGTGCGTCCCCGTAGTGATCGCTGATAACTTCATGTTACCGTTCAGCGATGTGCTGGATTGGTCAGCGTTCTCAGTGGTTGTGCCGGAGAAGGAGATCCCACGGCTGAAGGAGATACTATTGGAGATTCCTATGAGGAGATACCTGAAGATGCAGAGTAACGTGAAGATGGTTCAGAGACATTTCTTGTGGAGCCCTAAACCTAGAAAGTACGATGTGTTTCATATGATACTTCACTCCATTTGGTTTAACCTTCTAAATCAGAACCAAACTTCTTTTGATGATCATAGTCCCGATTCCTGACGTCATCCTTAATTACGTCTGTAAATTATATGTAACCACTGAAAATATATATTAAAGAAAATATTTCCATTAACAAACGGGCTTATCGATTAACAGGCTCCTTTTTCATTAGACCCTTATTGATATCAATGGGCTTTAATAGAATGGCCAAGATGATCCTGAGCTGCTGAATGTACACAGAATACTCTTTCGTGTTTGTGTCATAAGCTCCGCTGATTCCATTGTGGGTTTATTAATAGAGTCAGATTGGTACACGAGAGCTTTGAATGGATACAAACAAATGGGGAGGATTAAACCGTTAGTTAATTGGACCCTTTTTGTTTATCATAACTTATATTTAAAACCAACATGATAACAAGGATTTTAACAGGATAAACGATAACGAAGTAATTAAAAGAAGGTAACGGTAAGAGGTTACTTAAATTTTGTCGCTTTTATAGTTAGTAGTGATCATATACACATATTAGCGGTATATATACCTTTTACCATAATGATAAAAAGTTAGCAGTCATCACATCATATATTTCTATTCTTTTTAACTTTCAAACTAATTCTTTAACAATGGTCTTTATAAGATACAAAGATATAAGGGATGTTATTCTTATAGAGAGATTTAAAGATTCGTAAAAAAAAAAAAAAAAACTACAAACCTAAATATAAAAATTTATTGGTTATCCTATATAAGAGTATTCATGTAATTACATAATAATTTACATGAATAGTCTAATATTCTAAGAACAAAGACTAATGAAAGTACATCATGATTCATGCAAAACTATTTCGGCGACTGGACTGAAGTATTGTATATATTATAATGGCCCCATCAAATTTAAACAATAGGACAAATTCTAACGACCATAACATAGACTGACATACATACTCCGATATAGGCCGGTGGTCCTCTACGCAGTATTGTCTGTGTCTACGTGTTGGTATAACCCTACATTTACATATATATCTAACGTAACCTTTTGACATCTACTTATTGGCTGAATTGTGTAGGTATCATGCAACTGAACCACGCAATACATTGTCGTTTTCTACTCATAACTTTATAATGTTTATTTATCCCCATATTTTGAAATCCTTCTACCCCGACCCTATAAATATCTATACTCATATTTATAAAGTACATTTATTAGCGGATAGATTAAATTGTTATCCGATAAATTTAGTATCCGTTCCGATAAAAAATTTCTTTCATAAATTTTACATCGGATAGTTCATATCTTTTTGGATCAGATCAAAACATATATGAAATTATGAACAGGATATTTCATATTTAATATAAATATTTAGAAGATTTGATTTAGATTTAGAAATACAATTCTTCTATCATCTTTGTTTGAACATTTTTAACTGCTTTGAATCATCATATAATACATAAAGTTAAAAAAAATCTCAAACTTTTTCTACATATATTAGGATTCAAAATTTTTAAAACGGATATATATTACCCAATTGATAAAAAGGCGTGTGTTCAACGTCCCATATCGGCTAAAATATTTAGATATTGATTCAAAATCATATTATAAATAAGATCAAAATGAATCTAAACCCGAATGAACAAGAACCTCAACTTAAAAAGCATCCAAATTTAAAAATATATACCCTTTCATTCGGTTTTTTAGTTTAACTACTTAATTTTATCGAAAATGTTAAATTTTAAACTTTTTAAAAGTGTTAAATAATATAATTCATATATTTAAAATCAATAAAAAAAATTATAATATTATGAACATTTGAACATGTATAAAGAGTTACAATAACACGAGATGGGTTATATTGCTAGACGGGGTTATATATCGGGATGAGTTTTTAAGAAGTTTTAAATATTATAATTTAAATATTTAAAATCAATAAAAAGTTTGTAATATTAAGAACATTTGAACATATATAAAGAGTTAAAATAATATGAGACGGTTATATTGTAGGACAAAGTTATATTGCAAGACGGG